TGAAGGATCTGACTCGTTCATGGTGCTATAAACCCCTACGTGCACGGGACCCACAAAGGCAATGGGGAAAAAATGGATGATAGTTTATTTGGATGCGGGAAAACAAAATACTGCTGCAATTTTCGAAGTCCTTTAGGGTATCCGGGCACTCAATTCCCAGTACTTTTAGGCATCACTGAAAGGCTCAGTCCACACACACGGAACTTCCAGTGATATTGCTGGATTCAGCCACAGCTCGTCTATTCAGCGATCAGTTCATAGACAGCATCAGAACAGATGCTTTGGAATCGTTATGGTCAATGGGGCTTGATCCCAGTTCCCACTGGAGACAAGGGTGAAGCTCCCACTGACAGCAATCGAGCAGGATCAAGCCACTGAATTAGCCTGGAAGGGAAGCAAACCAACGAACCAAATGGAGACTAGCTTTCACTGAGTGGCAATGGAATCAATGAAACCAAGCCAGCGGGCACATTTAAAGCGCCGTGCAGGCCACCCCAGAAGCATTCATACGTCTGTTTGTTTTTCCTGCCATCCATTGACTGGGGCATTTGTGCTCTGGGCAATGTAATTACTATTTGTTCTTTCAATCGAGTGACACTTTGGTTTTAAACCCACTAGCAAGGTTTAAATTGTCTCTCTATCACCCTGTATGAGAAATAAATGCACCGTTGCGACCATGGAGGTATCATAGCCCAAGCTGCAGAGCACAATGTGTGTCCAAGTTCGTTCCTTGCTTTGGGTCTCTTCTCCCAACAGCGCAGAGAGATCCGTAGCCCTGCTCGCCCTCGGTGACATGTTTGATCGGCACCTTGGATCATTGCTGTTTATTAGCTGTTGCCTGTGGTGAAAGGTAGGAGCCATCGGGATGCTAAGGTGTGTGAAGGCGCACGTTCTCTCACTGCGAGTGAGATGAGTACATGGGTATTATCACCTCCATTGTACAAAGGAGGAAATGAGGCAGAGAGAGGCCATGGTCACACAACAAGTTGATGGCAGAGCTGGGAACAGACCCTAGGATCTCCCTAGGCAAAAGGCCATGCTCCTTCCCATGAATATATTATTAAGTGTATACTATCTAGTGCAGTGGTTCCCAAACTGGGGTTCGTGAACCCTGGGGGTTCACAAAACGTTACAGGGGGTTCTCGGGAAAAAATTCCCTAATGGCGGACAGAGCTGTCCCTAGGGACACCAGGCATCACGGGGCCAGCAGCCTGGAGCCCCTGGACTTCCAAGAGCTGAGCAGATAAAAGCAGGCATATCTATCACACTGAGGAGATTTAAACTTCAAGACGCCTTATAAGGAATGGAAAGGGAGGTGGATATTTTTTGCTGTTTTTAAAATTAAATAGGCAGCTAGTATTGTTTTTTAAATTATTATGAAGAACAAGTTTCAGCTTTGTTGTAACGTGCGTTGTTTGCCTGGACTGCTCAAGACCTGAATGTTTGTGTAGGAGGAACTCCTTGAGTTGGCTTCTTAAATCCCTTCATGCTGTTTCACATCTGACACTCCTTGATGAAACATAGGAGCCTTGTCTTACAACAGGCTTATTCAAAGTGATACAAGCTACGAAAGTGAGATCTGGGAAGAGTATTGCCGTTTTCATAACATAATAAAAATACTGTAATGATAATTAATAGTGTGTAATAAGCATGTCATAAAAACAAATTTTATATTTCCGAGATCACGGCTTTTATAATTTATTCTCAGGGAAAGGAGAAAATCCCTGGAAATATTCATTTTTAGGAGAGGGTTCGTGAGACTTGACATTTTAGTGAAAGGGGTTCACAGGTTGTTAAAGTTTGGGAACCACTGATCTTGTGATAACCAGCAGGCCCTGGGTTTGCAGGCGTTTCAGCGGAAGTTCCATGTGTGGAGGGCTTGCAGACTGAGGCGGATGATATTTATTGCACTGCAGTAATGTCTATGAGCTCCAGGACCAGGACCTCACCGTGCTAGGCGCTGCACGGACAAAGACTAGAAAGACAGTCCCTGCCCTCAAAGAGCTTACAGTCTGAAAGCCACAGTTATAACTAGGCTATGATTTCGGCATGGACATTTTTAGTACATTTTACAGCAGAGGGGTGGGGGAAAAAACCCTAAGTCACGTAAAGGCCACCAAATAATGTGTTTTTTGTTACATCAACATTCACAAGAGACTAGTGGGGATGCTGAAAGGTGAGGGCCAGGGAAGGGGCTGGAGAAAGGGCCCACTCCAGATTCACCCCACAGCAGCAGAGGCTGGGCCTGGCTCCCCATTCCAGGTGTTGTGACCTGCTACAAGAGGTTGCAGTGTCACTCTGGTTCAGCCCATGGGCCCCTCCATCTACATGCTCAGTGACTCTCAGGAGAAAGCCCCATCACAGATAAAAAATATAGACAGTGTTTTGCTTGGAACATACACACACAGAGAATAGCAATCAGCCCCCAGAACTCCTCAAGTGCTCACAACCAAAGCATCCCAGGGACTGGTCTACATTGTAAAGTTAGGTAGAGCCAGCTGAGTCACTCAAAGGTGTGAAAAATACACCCCCCCCCCCAGTGATGTAGTTAAGCCAACCCCTAACACCATTCTTCCATACTTAGCTACCACCTCTCGGGCAAGGGGAGAACCCCTCCCATCACTACGGCGTTTCAATGGCGGAGCTGTAGCATTTTGAGTGTAGACATAGCCTCCCTTGCAAAGCTACCTGTTCTTTTTCCTGTGCTCTGCCCGAATTAATGCTCAGTTCAATGTCAATAAATCCCAGAAATTAACCCCATCGTGTGCATTCCATTTCATTGCCTACTCAAAGTGCGTTGCTTGCTGTGCTGAAAACAAAAGCAGTGCATTATTTCAGGGAGAAATCTCCTGGTTCCTTGTGTCTGAGTTTGTGGGTGGATTTTTTTTTTTTCTAAAGGAACATCAAAGCAGGATCCATCTTTACCAAAATTAGATCCTAGATTATGAACAACAAAGTTTTTATGGGGCCTTTGTGTAGCAAGAACCATCATATTCTTTTTTGGGGGGACAGTAAAAAAGCATCATTTTATCACATTGTAACACACATACATCCTGATTCCACTGATATCAATTTTACACCCATGTAATTCCATTGACTTAAAAAGGATTTACTCCTTATTTACACCACTAGATCAACATTTGGCCCTCTGAATCTACATTAAAATGCAACAGCTCAGTCTGAAGGTGCCTTCAGTGAGTTCCCCTCAGAAGTACCCAAGGCAGAACTTTTAGAAAGCAAGAAGCTCTTTTTCTGAGATCTCCCTATTTTATTCCGCCCCCTTCCGCCCCTTCAAAGTTGGCCCAAAGCGTTTGGTCTTTACCTCAATTTTTATCAAGGCGGCTTTATCAGTCAGTCACTGAGCTGCATGAAAATTATCCCATCAATTGAATGCACATGATGACTGGACATAAGCAGACTCTAATCTATGGGATAGGCTGAACATTAGAGAAACAGGACTTTTGCAGTGCATCCCGTGCACACCTCTTCCTCTGCATTTCTTTAACTCCCTGCATACTGAAGTTCTTTCGGAGGTAGGAGCCTGTGTACGTGTGCGCATGGAAATTCACGTGAGTGGGATTTCGTGTGGAGTAAGGCGCTACTCAGCGCGAGCCAATGTATCAGAATATGGCTTTATGCCTGGAAGTCCCCATTGCCGGAGACCGTACTCAAGGATGTGTTGTCACATGTGAGATGACCCAAGTGGTGATTTCATGACCATGCAGCAGTTTATGGCATTTTCAAACCAGGAAAGACACAAAGCCACATTCTTTGATGAGACTCTCTTGAGGTCAGCAGAGATTAAACTGACCCTTTCTTTTTACAGCCAAGTGAAGTCACCTGTTCTGGGACCCCAGCTGGAGTCAATAATCTAACTCCCTCATTAGACTGCTGAGTAAGTGCAGGCTGCACAACCTAGATCTGCAAGGTTTGAGAAATACTGAGCCCAGTTCTCCTCTCACTTACAGTTGAGCAGCTCTGCACTGGCTCTAAATTGTGATTAGCATCCAGCATTTAGCCAACTTCCCCTCAGCTCCCTCCAAGCCGACATGTAGGCTTTGAAAGATAGAAGAGCTGGGGAAGTTCTTCTGCACACAGCCCAGAGAAGGGGTCTCCAGTCCCTATCTGCTACAGAGCAGTACTATCCATGATAGGCCCGAGGGGCGTTCAGGGGTCGCCTAGGGTCCCATGATGACTGAGAGCAAACCCCCTCCCCCCATTCTGCTGGCTCTTGCCAGCCTAGGAGGGGGATTTGGTCTCAATCAAACTCTAGGGAGAATCCCTGTGCCAGGCCCATTCAGTCAATTCAGGCTTTAGAGGGAGGGAGGGAGGGCGGATCTCTTTATGCCGTTTATCAAAGGCATTTTGTTGGGGTTTCCTTGTTAGACTCACCTGCAATCTTCGGTCCGGCAGGATCCTGGTTTCCATCTCAGCTAGGGCAGACGTGCAGAGTCCAGAACAAAAGTGAGTCGAGCCACAGGACTGTGTTAGTGGGTTCAAGCAGCTCCAGGGGACAGAGGGAGAGATTTCTCACTCCTTGGGTTTGGAACTCAGACAGCTTGTTCCAACCTAGGCCCAGGACTTAACACCTTGGTCCATCTAGTGCAAAATATCACACCATCTACATTATACTTGTGCCCGCACATGCTCTGTCTACTGCCTTTCCAAAGGTAGGCTCAGGGAGAGGGAGGAGATAGGCTAATTAATCTAGCCTCTCTTTTAAAGAGACAAACATGCTTTCTGCACAAATGCATTGGTGACAAGCTCAGGGCCTGTGCCTTGTCAGTATCTGAGCATCCGGAGAAATGATGATAGGCCATACAACTCTAAATCCCAGTTCCCTGCTCTAATCTCCAGACCTCACATCCTCCTATCAACTGGACAGAATACTTACCTCTCTCAGGGAGGAACTGTCAGACATAATGCATGCCTCGAGATCCCCGGATAGCAAGTGCTACTGAAGTCCAAAGGATCCTCATCAATAAAGGGAAGACACTGGGTGCAGTTGTCACATAAAATTAAAAGCTTTTTTAGTGTTTAAAATAGCATTTACACATAAGCAGCTATATATTAACTATACAGACACTTGGGTTTTAATACAATATCTACAAAAAAGAATTCAATTATGCAATAGACATTTAACAGGAACAGTGCAGTCCATGCTAGTAAAAGGTCACTCTCGGAGTAGAACCAATTCTAGAATAGGTGATAGTCTGGGTTTTCATTATTTAAAATCATTTAACGTTTTTCCCCCCTCTACTGTACATAAATTCTTTACATGTATTTCTAATCACTGATTAGAATGATTTTTTTTAAAGTCAATCTTATTACAATCCAGTTAAATGCAAAACAAAAACAATTACATCAACTCATCAGCTGTCAGTCTCAAGATGGGACTGTCAATTTGACAAAAAAACCAACAAAAATATCAAAAAAGTCAGCGCCTGTGCATCGTTTGCCATCCAATATACCTTTGGATAAAGTGTCCAGGGACTATTACCTCTGAAAAGCAAATGTGTTAACAGGAGGTCAAAGACATCAGCAGTGCCTTTAAGATGCTCATAAACCATTCACCAAAATCTTACTCTTTAGAGAGTTGGGTTAATACATTAGGTGGGTGCATTACCCTCACATTCCAGTAGGAGGCATCATCCCAAAGCCTTGGCACATACGTAATCTCTAATCCATAAAACACACCTATTTGTTCTTATTAGTTGCTGTTGACAGGAATGAATAAATAATAGTGCAAGTCCAGCTGCAGAGCACAGGCAGATTGTGTTAACTCCCCCCTTCCCCCCCCAATTCAAATACTATTTAAGGCTCCTGTTATGAGACCAGCTTGTCATTTGAACCCGTTCAGCATCACCCCCTTCATGTGCCTATTAACGGCAAGCCCATCACTTTTCTTTGCAGTGGGAGGAGGACAGGTCAAGATACATTCTAGAGCCAGACCACTGCCAGCTCCCCGACCTTAAAAGGAGCAAACTAACCTGGGCTCTACTAAGAAACGACATGCTCTTTAAGGGCCTGATCCGTCAACTATTCGCCACCTGGCGTAGCACTTACAACTGCCTCGTTGACGTCAAGGGCACGTCTCTCTGGAGGAAGCACTCCACCTGGCAGTATATGCTTGCAAAATTAGGCCCAAACGCCCCCAGGCTGCACAGATAAACTTGGACATATTTAAAGGCATCGGCAGGATTTTGGAGATCTCCCTCCATCCACTCATGAATAAGTGACAAACATTTTGCTCCTGGTTCCCCACTCACTCAGCCTGGCATCTCCCTAGACTTCAGTGGAGTTACTGTACATTCCTCCAGGGGAAGGGAGAGGGGAATCAAGCCCTAAGTATTATACTGCAATCATGATGTATTGCACTGTTCATAGAATGGGCATTTAGATTCTCCTATGGCTCTTCAGGGAATAGAAGATTCGAAATACCGTTCATTGTTTAATAACCTGCCATCGCACACAGAGCAGCACGTGCTTTGCCCTAAGTGGGAGCTTGATTTCAGCTGAAGCCAGTTCGGATAGAACCAAGTTAATTTCTAACTCACAGTCAAAGCCAGACTTGGCAGCCTGCTTCCTTCAGCAGATGAGCACCTTCCCACACCTATAATCGGGACTGTGTCAGCCTGAGTCCAGAGTCACCCATGCACACGGAAATACATAACACAATCATTTCAACACAGCAGCAAAGGGCAACACGACATAGAGCAGTTTTTCTGCCAATAGCACTTACCACAACAACAAAAAGAAAAATACAGCAAGTGTGTAACTGCAACTCTTGAAAAGACATACAAGGAAACAAAACACTTCAGCCTCCTTGGGTGAAAGCCCAGCCTATAATCACTCCCCCTTCTGTATACCCTAACAGATTAACACTACCATCTTTTCCCCTGATCCCGTAACTTTTGCTTTAAGATAAAGTGAGCCAGAAAAAAAAAAAAAAAAAAAAAAAGAGCAGAGAAGTAAAAAACTGGTTTAAAAGCAGAACCACCAGAGATTGTCAGTAAAATCAAAGACTTTTTTTTTTTAAAAAAAATAGGGCCTCCTTGAGCTACAGCAAAAGTAAGGGATGATTTCTTTGATTGCTTTAAAAAAAGATCTCTGAATGTAATTAGTATTTGCATCATGCCTAGGTGAAAAATGAAAAAAACGTTGCGAACAACTCCAGGTTCTAAAAGGATCGTGCAATTTTATATTGGTTACCAGCAACTCTGCTACTTAGCCAGTTTAGGCTGGGATTCCAGCTGAATCATAAAGAAACACAGCTGGGCGAGGCTAGCCAATGGGTGGGTTAGGCAAAAGGGATTTAGGGGCTTAAACAGGGAGTTGGTGTGTAGCATGGTGGGGTGTAAAATCTACAGTGCTCCAGCACACTAACTGCCCATGTGGATCCTGCCACTGTGCATTAAGAGTACCCTAGTGTGCACTGGTGAAATGAATGGTTGTTTCAAACAGCCGTTATGTCAGTGTATTCTAGGGAACCTTGTGGGTACAGCAGCAAGCTCCACATGGACCGTTGGTATGTGACGCCCTGGAATGCTGCAGCTTTACGCCCCAGCTTGCTGTGCACTAACTCTTCATTTAGACACGCCCTAAGACCCACTGACTTTCAGGTTGCTCTGTGCTTAAGTCGCTTTTGAAAAGGAGCCCTACGATCCTAAGTCATTTTGCTACTTTTGCAAATTTTACCCTTTGTCTTTTTCTAATTCCACTAAGTAAAAGAAAAAGCTGTGGTAGCCACCCCAGGGTGCGTGACATGATAAGCACGCTGCTTGGGAAGTCAGTGCTGCAGTAGGATTACAAGGGAACATGAAATCCCAGCAGTATTCAGCTATACATCTCTTCTGCATGCCTGCTAGGCACTGAAACCAACAACAATGCAAGAAATATAGCCGGAGGGACCGTCATATTGGGGGTAAATCTTTTCTACACAGTGAAGCGTGATTTAAGCACCCATCCTCAAATTCATCAGGAAGAGCTGACTACTAATAAAGGTGGATTTTAACTGAAGGGCCAACAACATAGGACTGAAATCCTTGGAGATGTACGACAGCGGATGCTTAAGAAAAAGCTGCTGGTTGGAAGTGGGACCCTTAACACAGTTTTCACTGTGTGTCAGGTAGAAAGATGAATCGGTTTTAGCATTTCTGAGCTGTCCATAAAAGCATTTCCCTTACCTAGCCCTGTCTGCATTCAGAACATGCCCACTTGGTAACACTGCAGGGCCAACCCCAGGATTCTGATTCACAGCAGAGGTGAAGCTGGGAAGGGTGATGCCAGGAAGATCTTATTCAGCAACCGAGAGGAAAAAGAGCGGCCAGAATTACCAGCAAAGCCACTGATGTGGGCAGGAATAGGATGAGAATCCCCTCTTTAATCAGGGGAAGCTGCATCTATGCCTTGAATAACCAGAGAGTGGCAACTGTCCCACTGCTGCAGGAACAACCTTTCCAACAGCAATTAAGTGCACGTTATGACCAGACAAAAATGGACATGCCTCATCATCAGGGGTGTCACGGTTGTGATAGGATGATGTCAAAATGAAAGACAATTCTACTCCTTACTCAGCAGAGGAAAGAAGGGTTCTACATCGAATCAGATCTTTGCCTCCTGCTGGGAATTTCCCCTCTTACATACTGCCCACAAACTTTCAGGCGTCAGGGCTGCTTGTGTTGTATTTTGCTATTTACCAGACGTATGACAAGGAAATCAATCATAGTAGCCAGTGTTTCTGGTAAGACAGAGAAAGAGAGAGAGAGAGAGATAAAGGTGCTAATAATGCATCACTGGAAACTTAGAAGTCATATGAAATAAAAAAGCCTTGAATCAGTCAAGACGACACACTAATTGCACTGAAAGTAGGTGCCACAATTACCAAAGCTCGTCAGGCTGAATATACACCAGTCAATCACATTAAAAAAACAACATGAGGAGAAAGGGAAAAAAAAAGAGGAGGAAAGAAAAGATGCCATCGATTTGCTGATATTTAAGAATCCCAGGGGATTTTTTTTGTTTTGCAACACACGACTGAGATTCAGGAAGGTGTTACATGCAATACAGCCAAGCTTTCTTTCTTAAAGTGTTCGGCAAGGACCCCGACCCCCCCCCCCAAAAAAAACCCAACCCCAACATCAATGAAAACAAGCCCCTCCCGCCCCTCCCCCCAAAACAGAGTCTGAAGGCACTTCCTCTCACATGATGTCAACAAAGAATTCGCAAGGGTTGCCCATCGCCTTCTGGAAGGACTGCCGGCTCCCCGTCAGCTCTGGAGGAACGGAACTCAGTTCTCTCACGGGCGGTCCCCCGGGGGGTCCACTCGTCCCGTAGACTTTGGAGCCTAGCTTTGGCAGGTTGTAGAGGGGTGGGACCCCGGAGGCCCGTACGAATGGTGGCTGTGGTGGCTTCTCTCGCTGTGGGTGGCAGAGACGTGGCTGAGCTGGCTGACGGGCCGTTCGCGGCGCACTACGCTGGCTCCGCCCCCGCTGCGGGCGGTGTGGTCGGATTCACTGCCGCTTCCGGCTGACTTGCGGTCCTTCTCCCTGCCCAGTGCCCTCCGGCTGTTCTCACTGTTGCTCCGGTTAGAGCCGCTGCTCTTGCTTCCTGTGGACAGCGAGCAACAGGAACAGAACGGGAGGGTCAGTCAGTCATGTTTCCTCCCCTCCTCTTTCATCAACACGTCCTGAAATCCCCCCGGCATCAAACCCACAGTGGCAACAATGACCATGACCAACTCCGGCCCGCGTCAAGCACAACAGGCTATGGAGGACTCCAGAATTTGGCGACGACACCTGCTAGAACAAAGCTGAGGAGGCTGCGGCATGCAAAGATGCACATCGATCCAATCCACCCTCCGGAGCCAGCATGGGGAAAGCATTAGCTAGCCTAGAACTACAGCCTGAAGCCCCTCTGCTTCCATGCCTTCCCACTGGCCAAGCAAAGGAGAGGGAAAAGACAAAAAGGGGAGAAAACGGAGGGGGGGGGGGGGCACGGGTTCTGTTTTTAAACACAAAATAGGTTTCTTCTAACACTATGATTGACTCAATGTGTGGATGCCAGGAACCCTGGCACAGGAATGGGTTATTCTACCACGAAACCGCTTCTTCAGAACAAAACTCATCTGCTCTTTCCGGCATCAGCCTTTGGTAAACAAAGCGGATTCAAAGGACGGGCCTGCTCCAAATCCAGTGAAGTCAATGGAAGTCGTTCTGTTGGCTTCCATGGCATTAGGACCTGATCCAAAGGCAGACTCCTACAAAGCCCATCTCGGAGGTGCTTTGTGGTTGTAGTGTCCTTCAAAAGCCGGTGTGTAGAGTTGTTACACGTAGATTGCCATGTATCATGCACATGCTGAGTCTAGAAGATGTTCCCAACAGAGGCTGAAAATAATGCCTTAGAGGTTGTGTGCAAGTAGTACATGAGAGTGTGAGCGACTGACTTCACTGGGTTTTGGGTCAGGCCCAGCGTGAACAGCTGCAGGAAGTGCTCAGATATCATAAGGATGAGCATGGAAGGATACTTAGGTAGATATTTCCAAGTAAAATCTCTCTCTTAAAAAAAATAAAAATCCGAACTTTCCAAGCCATCATTCGACAAGGAACTAATTGCTCTGCTTAAACCAAAGCCCTTAGAGTTTGAGGCTCCATTCACGAACAAACTCCACCGCCTCGTAACCATGGGCCAGATTCTGAATTTGAACGAGTGCTTGCTACTCCACTCAAGTCATCACAGCATTGATGGTTAATGCAACGGAAGAGAGGGAAAGAGAATCACAGGTGCTCCTATTGCTAGTCGCGGCTCTCCTTCTGCTGATGAGATTATATTGAGAAAAGGCAAAACAAAAGAGATGGAGGAAAGAAAACTAGCCAGGCCTGGTGTGTGCAGTAGAGATCTCATAGTCTCCTGCAGAACGCAGAGGGCTTGAGGACCAAAGCAGAACGTGGAATACCCAAGACGCAGTGTGGACGAGGGGTTTGAACTCAGGACTAGGAGGCTGCAACTGGTGAGTTCTATTCCTAATTTCCACCAATTCCCCTGTTTGCTTTAGGCAAGACACTTGACTGTTCTGGGCTTCAGTTTCTCCATCTATGAATGGAGGTTATAACATTTACTCCCCTACCTCCCAGGGGTGTTGTAAGGATTGGTTAGCTAAGCCCTTTGAAAACAAAGCGTTACATAAATGCTGAGTTTCATTATCAAACATCTCCTAATGAGCCAATAAACCCCACCCCCGCCATGTACCAGAGCATAATTGGGAATTAATAAGATGACTGTTCCAGCCCACACTCCAGGCAGGATCGACGCCAGAGTGACACAGAGAATTCTTACAAGGCACTGATTATAATTCATCCTCGAGCGAATGGCGCTGTGCCCATCACCACCCAAACACAAATCTTAAGGCAGGGCTCTTTGGCAACTGCTTTGCAAAATCAAGAAGCACCTTGATAGGAAGAAACTCCAGTGCAGTGGGCCTTTGTTCCCCAGCAGGAAGTCCCCACATTGTGGCAATCTTTGAAGCACTAGAGAAGTCTCCTTTTCCCCTAACGTGTCCCAGGACAATAGCATCAGTTTTCAAGCAGGAATTCCCATGGATGGAGAGATCAGTTTAAAACCTGATGGCACAAAACTGGCCCCTTGACATTCTCCTCCCACGTTCTAGCTCTATGCTGGGCATGCAATGCCGAGTCTGTAGTAACGTTCTGAGATTAAAGCTGGCGTGTATGTCAAAGTAAAGGTCTCTGTGGGAGCTGCTATTCGAGATCAGGCCCCAGAACAGGGGCTCACTTACCCCGTCAGCACAGTCACTTCTGAAGGTAGGAGCGCATTCAGTTTGGTGCAGGTGAAAGGAGCTGAACTGACAGCTTTGGAGAACTAAGCCCTCTATTTACTAAGAGCTGTGTCCTCCCCAGAACAGTAAGATTCGGGCAACAGCAGGGCAAGCTTCCTCTTATTGCCCTTCCAGTACACCTCACCACAAATCCAGGAGAGGAGAACAAAATCTAGGATCCTTGGCCGCTCTGACGACTACCAACGAGGTACCAATTGTATGACATGGACACTCACCAGATCTGCACAGACACCCTCGGGCTCCCCGGCCACTGAAATCCTGGGATATCCCCTTTTCTGTCTGGGGGTCACGACCAACCTGCCAGAGCCACTCTCTCATTTTGAATAGCTGAGTTATTGCTACACCCTCAGTGGCTGCTCACTTTACGCTTCCATCAGTCACATCAGCTTTCCGAATGCCCAGTGTGACTAGATCCAGCTGCCTGGTCCAGCACCCCCCAACAACTAAGGTGCATGGCTGGCACCCACAGGCCTTCCACCAGGCGTATAACAGGAGAGAATTGGTGGACACCTCCAGAAGCAGCTTATTGGACTAATAAAAACAGGATGCAGAAGGAAAAAAGTCAAAAGGCTGACCAAAGGCGCTCAGGGGCGGGCACCATTTGGAAGTCTGCACGTTGGCAGGGAGAATTCGGACGTCATTCCCCGGTAGCTGTTGTCCCGCTCTGCGGTCAGATTGCTCACTCCACTAATGCCACAGTATTACAACAGGATGAGCTGGGACAGGCAAAGTGCCCCTGACAATTGAAAATAAAATAAAAGGGGGGGAGGGGAACAGCTAAACATTTGGATCACAAGAGTCTAAATGATCATGCTATGAATTTGTTGTTATTATGGAGGCGTTTGAAGCTTACCAATCCCCTAGTGTCAGCCATTCCTTTCTGAATCCTTCAGTCTAATGCGTGCTCAGAACAAAACAAGGGAATAACACAGTTACAAAACAAGAAACAACACAGCAGTGTAGTTTCCAAAAGTAGAACAAGGGAGAAAAAAGTGCTGAACCCTTCAAAATGAAACCCTCCCGTTGCCTTTAATGAAACTCTCCTAGCTGGTAACCCAGGATGCATAGATAAAAAGACTGGACCTTTCCTATTCCAGCAGCAAAGAGCTAATGTTCTGTTGTTCACAGTGACTGGTGAACCACATTAGGAAAAATCAGTGTCCCCCCGCCCCAGTGGCGGAACAGACCTGATGTGGATTTTTTTCCTAAAGATCTGAATTTTTTTGGTTCCCCTTCCCCACACATTTGTTTTCAGCTGAGGTGGGAAGGGCAAGTGCTGGCCGTCTCACCAGAGAGTTCTTCTCATGGGATTCCCAGCCTGGGTTTGCAAAACGAAGCAGGTTGGGTTAAGTCTGGAGGCGCTGCGTGCAAATTACTGGATGTTTATCTTGGTAACGTAATTCACGCCCAAGCTTGGAGCCTCCTTCTGAGCCTTGCCTTTTGGTTATGGGCAGCGTTTCCAAGAGGGATATTCACACTGGAAGCAGTGAATTTCAGAAATTGCAGGGGACCGCCCACTGGACAGTCCTACCACAGAATCATGTTTTCTTTACTTGGCTCAGAAGAAGGACGTAGCAAGGGCTGGAAGGAGGTGGTACATTTACGCAACCCATGCAACATGCATCAGAGCAAAAGTAATTGTGGTCCCAGCGGAACAGCGTTTAGGGGTTGCAGTCCCTTTGGCTGGCTGCTCCAGACAGCACTCTTTTTGCTTATTTCACACGAGAGGAGGTGAATGGCCTTCTGCACTCAGGACGGAAGTGGAAGCCAGGAGCATGTAGTTTGGAAGCCCACTTCTGTCCCTGACACTCAGTTCTGGCACATGGCTTCAAGCAAACCACTAACGGCCTGATTTTCATGGACATTGAGCACTCCACTGAACTCGGCGACTCGCACCTGTGAAAACCAGGCTCTTCACCTCTCAGGGTCTCATTGTTGCCTTTTGATTAGTCGGCAAGCTGCTATCTATGTAGCTCTTTCCCAGAGTGAGGACTGGGTCATTAACGCTGGATTAATTAGGGATTTGTAAGTGCTACGTAGTATGTAATGCTGTGGGGTACCTATGCCACATTGGACATGACAGACAGCCCTGTAACTAGTTCCCCCTTGGTTCTTGCTCTGTGTGCTGAGCTCTAGCGAACTACCCAGATGGAATATCATGCTGGCTCAATTAAAATGTAACGGGCACTTTCACTCCGGTGCTGAAAGGCCGGCCCTCCTCTCCCTTGAGTCTGCAAAGAGAGATTTGATTCAGCACAGTTGCAGCAAATCCCATGCATGGAGCATCCAAACCACGGGGAAGGGGAGCACAGACAGGACTAGGGAAACTCAAGCAAACGGCCAGGGATAACGGGAGCTGGGACAGTGTGTGTTCCACTCACAGGCTTACCTTCACTTTGCTGGCTACCCGCGCTGCCACTTCCGTAGCTGAAGCCTGGGTCCTGGTATGCTGGTGGGAAGCATGGAGGGGGGAGTGGGTACTGGTAGGGGTAACCCTGACCCAATGGCCAAGGTGCAGCAGGATGTGGAAGGGGAGCAAGAGTGTCCTGATCAGAGGCTCCGCTAGAACCGTTGTTAAGGTTCAAGGCAGCCATATCTGGAGGGAGAAAGAAAAGGTGAGGACAGTACAATTCCCTAGCACCTGATACTCACGTACTATCATCACCCTATAGAACGACAGCTAATGGGTTTACCTGGGACTTAACCTCAGCTGTTCAATCCAACTATTACCCAGGGTGAAGTGGGCCTGAATATTGAATATGGAGGGACGGGTATTCTCAAGCAGGCGTGTGCAATTGGGAGTGCAAAAACACATGCACTGATCTGATTCGATGCCCCAAACCTTCTATCATTTGCCTATCCGCCCACAAAGACATTCTTTTTACAGGCAGCGTCTCAGTGGGGAGACGGGCCTTGCAGCAGAACCAAAAGGTTAACGAAGCCAGTCTCTGGTGGACTGTGGAAGGATGGTGGCCTTGTGCTTAAGACACTAGACTGGGACTCAGGAGATCAGGGCTCAATGCCTGACTCTGCTTCAGACTCCCCGTGTGACTTTGGGCAAGTCCAGCCAGGGCTGTGATTCCCAGCGTGCGTACTCACACTTGCACTAGTTCACGCTGAGCGAGTGTGCTAAAACGAGTAGTGAAGCTGTGGCAGCATGGACAGCTCAGGCCAGCCGCCCCGACAATAAACCGGCTTAGGCCCTGGGGTGTGGGGGACATGCTCAGGGCAGCTAGCCTGGGCTGCTGCTCCCACTGCTCGAACACTATGGCGGCCACGCTCCTATTATTAGCGCTAGCTCTCCTCAGGCCGCACCCCGAGCTCCGAGTGCAGATGTAGCTTCGATCCCCTCTGTGCTTCAGAGCCCTTTCTGTACAAGGGGGATCGGTCCTGACCGCCGAGGGAAGTTGTGAGGGTACAGCCATTGCTGAAATAGAGGTGCTAACGCACTACCACGATGGGGGCCCCCAAAATGACCTGAAGAATGAATTCCAGAGCAAGAGGGGTCAGCGGAGAATGCCCTGGCAGCCTATTCCCATTTACATGAAAGGAGGGCCAGACGGAATGCCTCTGCTGATCACGCTTGTGTCGGGGCATGAAATCATTATTCAATTTCAGATCATACTTACACAGTCTGCATCGCCATAGCATTTGAACCCCTCACAGCATCCCCGTAAGGCAGGGTAATCCTAGCCCCATTTTACAGATGAGAAACTGAGGCCCGAGGACAGGCAGGCGTGTGACAGTCAGGATTGGAACCCAGATTTCCTGAGTCCCAGTCCAGTGTCCTATTTCACTAGGCCATCCTTCCAACCCAGATAAGAACATAAGAACGGCCATACTGGGTCAGACCAAAGGTCCATCTAGCCCGGTATCCTGTCTTCCGACAGTGGCCGATGCCAGGTGCCCCAGAGGGAATGAACAGAACAGGGAATCATCAAGCGATCCATCCCCTGTCGCCCATTCCCAACTTCTGACAAGATAACTCAGTTGCTTCTCCTAGAGGAAAATATTGGCTCACGATCATGTAACTCTGGTGGGGGGCAGGCTCGTGTGTGGAAATCGCCACGCTTGTGAGATCCCACAGGAGGTTGTCCTGCGCTTCCTGCCAGAACAGAGGAGCTGGCATAGAGCACATGCGCAGCTTTGCCCTTCACGGTCGAGGAACTTACTGCTGCAGAGGTCCCCGAAGACGTAATAGCACTGCTCTGAGAAGGTGATTTTGTTCACAGTGTGCCTGAGGTAGCCGTGTTTTAACATGCTGCTGGCGTATTTTCTAGCCTCTCGTCTGTCCTTGAAGCCCTCCATGTGCGTGTAAAGCCAGTCGACCACATCTGCCCCTGCAATGGGAGTGGGGAATGGAGAAAGAGAAACATCCCAATGTTACTTTTAGCCGGCAAGACAACGTTCAAACTCCTATCATTATTTATCACAATGCATTTGGGCCTATAGGCCTCAGCCAGCTCAGAGCATCGTTGTGCCAGGCACTATCAAAAAAAGATACAGGTCAGGCCCTGCCCCAGAAAGCTTCAGAATATCATATTTTCACAGCACCTTTCATCAGGCCCGTCACTGAAATGCATCCACCTCTGGGGTGGGATGGAGCACCTGTCTAACAGCGCTAACCACCACCAGCCATCAGTTTAAACCAGGAAGTGAAGAATAATCCTGCATCCAGGTGGAACACCTACTCATTTAAATGCTTAAAAAAAAAACAAAACAAAAAAACAAAAAAAACCCATGGATTTTTTTTTTTACATGGTGCATATGAGAAGGAATTAAGACAATCTGAAATGACACAGTGTTTATACAGACAGTGACAGGTTTTCAACAGATATGGGGGGCCAGGAGGGGTGCAGACTCCAGGCTGTCTAGTGTCCTGTTTAGGTAACAAGTAAAAGTCACGTAGGTTGTTTAGAACTCAGTACATATTTGCATGCAGCATGAAAACACCATCTGGGTCACTTGGCAGTTTCCGTTCAAGAGGGAAATAGCTGGGGTGGTTCAGGTCATGACTGAGATGCCTTGGCCGAGCTGTGTGAACGTGCAGGTTTGGAGCAGCAGGGGGCGCTGCTATCCTGGACCGAGATGCCTTGGCCGAGCTGTGTGAACGTGCAGCTTTGGAGCAGCGGGGACGCTGCTATCCTGACAGGCACAGGATGGGAGCAGCAGTGGTATTATCCATAAGGGTTCAGGTGCAGTGGGACAATGGGTGAGGGAAGCTTGCACAGTCCTAGCCCACACTAGTTCAAACTCGAGCCATTCATTCTTCCTTTTCACAACTAGATTCTTTCACAGAAACACACAAGAAAAAAAAAAAAAAGTCACCACGGCTCTAAAAGGCAGCTCCCAAAGATGGTTTCTAACAAGCCACTGGGTGATCTGCGCAGCCGTCGGGGGACCCGCTTACCTATCACTGCATTGGAGATGGTAATTTTTAACCACATTCTGTCCCGGATTTCCAGGCCTGAGTCAGGTAACTGCATAACCTTGACAATAGTAGCCATGTCACTCTTCACAGTCAAGGGAGATTCTTCCAATTCTGAAAGGAAGAGAGGTTAGATGCTTCTCGGAGCTCAGCCACCTCCACAGAGAGAGTCACTTCGTTTCAGCTCACCGTTTGGATTGCGCCTTTCAAGACACAGCTTTCCAAAGCAGAGGCAAGACAGAGTCACAGGATTCCCCCATCTTGCCCTCAGCAGTAGCACCAAGGTGCAGTATTCACACCAGTTCTGTAAAGATGCTGCTTGGCATGAACGGTTTAGTCACTGAGCTGCAGGCACCCTGCAGGTGTTGGGTTCTCTAGCCAGCTACAAGTCGCTCCCGGCCCGTTTCCCTAGGGGGAGCTCCTGAGGCTGATCCAATCATCAGCAATTTCCCATGTAATGTGCAGCGCTCCCAGAGGGACTTCAGGCAACACTCCTTCCACATTCAACCCACGATAGGTCACGTGGTGGTCATAAAACAGACAATGTTAGGAACAAGCACGTTTTGCTTCTACCTAGACCTTTGGGTTAGTCACTATGAATGGTGGCACCTGCCAGGGAAAGAAGAGGGTAAGTCTATTCTGCTATCAATGCACCTGCAGCTCATGTCAATGGGCACAGTGCAGGCATGAAAGGGAGGAGTGAAGTGAATCGGCAAACTAGAAGACAGCCTGTATCAGTAACAAGCCCTGGGCTGGTGGACGCCTTGAAAATGACTTTAGTGGTACGCAGCCTTACAAACCAGGGAAAGTAACGAAACCCAATGAGAACACATATACCCCCTCCCCCACGCTCCATGCACCTCTCTTGCAGAGTATTTGGAAAAGCCAATTCTAGATGTGTCAGCACTGATCAGCCGTTGCTGCTTTTCTCATTTGACCACCCCATCTCGTGCACAACTCCCCTGACCTGAGTGTTCAGCTAGAAACAAGAGTGATTTGTTTTGCTGATCCATTTCAATAATAAAACCCAACAGTAAGTGCCTGCCAGATCTTCTGTGCTGGCTGGGCAGGGTTAAGCCTGGCCCCCGTCCCTCATATGGGAGGGGTATTCTCCTTGGTTACCTCACCCAGCAACTCCTAGGGCCCTTCCTTCCAATCTCTCTCGTTACTATGATCTGCGAGACAGGTGTGAACCCCAAACGCCATCCAACTCTGGATCCAATTCCCAACTTCACAACTGGTAATGTATTTTTAATGGGCTGCCCACCATACTCATTGTGTTAATCCTGCCTCCCATCCTCCCAGCTCAGGAGAATTCATATCCATCATGTAGCTCAGGCTCATCTCTAACAGAAACATAGCAAGTCATGAGCCCCCTCACTTTTCTAGGAGAGCAACGGAACCAATTTCACTTTGCGTCAGCCACCCTCACATTTTTGGTAAAAGGCACAAGTACGACACAGTGAAAACTCAAACCATTGAGCTTGATACATGCACATCTACACACTTGAAATATACCATCACATGCCATATACACACACAAGGCTTCTAAACTCTCATGCCATCGGAGCAACACTGAGATTTGCTTTTGCTTTAAGTTAGTTTGGTTAGTGACAAAAAGCAACTTTTTTAAAAAAGAATATCTAATTTAAATAGGCAGGGAGCAATAAACTTGATTTTCATATGGCCTGTCTCCAAATCAGTATTATGCTTTTTGAAGCCACTGGAAGCAGAAGGATGCTGGATCAGTAGGCTGTAGTTTGCAGGTGGCCGTCCAAATCTGAAAACTCTCAGTTACAGCAAAGAAAATGTATCCATCTCAGGACTGGACTTCCTCAAGTAACCCTTGACCCGACAACATGACTGAGTGGGGTTGTGAATACACGAGCATTAGAACAGGCAGAAATGCCGACAATCTTTTGAATCAGATGCATTAACCCAGTGATACTCAGATCCCAGTGGTTCAGGAGCCAAATTAGCGATCAACGTTCCCCAAAGGAGCCACAATGTATTGTTTCATTTACTTACACTCACACTCGAGAGAGAGAGAGAGAGAGAGAGAGTGTGTGTGTGTGTGTGTGTGTAAATTAGTCATTTTGCTGCAAGGATTCTGTAGAAATATTCTCACAGCAAAATGACTGACCAAGTGTTCTACACTTGGTGAACACCACAGTAAAAGCATCTGATTGGTTAATAATTAAACCACACCATGTTTTAATATCACGTGCAGCAAAGAGAGACACACTAAAGAGCCACTTGCCGCTTCCGAGCCCTAGTCTGAGCATCACTGCATTAGCCCATTGCTTTAGATTGGTTCTGAGTGGTACCTTTACCTCTCAGTTTCACCCCTCCACTCTTAGAGATTACTGATAAGAAGGGTATATATATATACACACACACACACCAGGACAATGCAGTTGTACCATACCTCATGCCATCTTTATTTCGCACCTTCATTCTAATGCATGTGTGTACAATATTTACTGAAGAGACAGGCCCACGCAGAAGGAATAAGTAGCTTTGGGCAGGATACCCCTTTTCAAAAAGCAAGACGGTATTTCACAGTAATGGTCTGAGGGCTTGATCAAACCCCATTCAAGTCAATGGAAAAAAACTCCCATTGATTTCAATGGGTTTTGGATCAGACTCCGAAACACAACAGCTGCCAGGAAGGACTTTGCAATGCTCAGGGGCTAGTCCTGTAGAAAACTGGAGTAGTTTTACACATAAAGGTCTCTAGGGTGATCTCAGAAGACCCGGACGGGCCATAAGCAAGCTCCTCTTCTGAAAATGGAGGGGGGAAAGATGCTCTGCCTTTGATAGATAAACCAGCATTGGCGCTTGTCCTGGCTGAAGGCAGCTGGCCCAACAGAGAAAATCAGAGGCTAATGCAAGAGATTGTTGCCATGGAATGAGCTGAAAATTATTCTAGAACAAGGTACCTTTTTCAATAATAATTAATATGAAAAACTGCATCTATCTGGTGTGAAAAAGTCTGATTTAACAGCAGTTGAGTAGTCAGGTCCCTGAGGAGTCCTGTGTTTGAGAGAAAAAGCCTGAAGAAACAAAGAGATAACGAAACCGACCAAAAAAACAAAAAAGAAACCCAAGCCCTGCTGCTTTGTGGGTTTCATCTGAGCTCCCCTCCCCAATCTCAGGTGCTTTAGTCACAAATGTTGATGTAACACTGGCTGCCCCAATACGTCCGATGTTAAGAACAGGAAAGAGGGCAAAGGGGGTGGGCTGCAAGGAAAAAAAAAAAGTCTCTCAACCCGTTTACGTTATCCCAGCCCCATTATATAAACAGAGTAAACCAGGAGACATACCACAGTACTCAAAAGAAGGAACCCCGACACAGACTTGCACTCAGCTAATGCTGCTCCATTAACTGGCTGCTTCCACATTTACAGCCAAAACAGTAAAACTGATGTTTATATTTGCTGTGAGTATCAGCAACATAACCCTGAGAGACTCTAGGAGGCTCTTGGACGGGGAAGTGCAAGGCTGGAAAGCCCTGTTTGTATTTAAGCTCTTTGTTTATTCCATTTTGGGTTGAGAGGCGTGCGGTCTCTCCGTTTCTGCCGTGACTGAGAGGTTAATGGGTGAGATCCTCTCTTCCTCCTGACCCACTCTTGAGATCTGGGTGTGCTGCCCCTCCTGTGCATCAGATTGGCTCCAAGTGAAGGAGACAGAAATAAATAAATGGCAGTGCAGTTTGTTACCAACCTCGCTGCTAGTCCTGTTGGCCTTGTTTGAAATAAAACGTTACCCTCCTATCGCACTGCCATCTGAGGATCCCAAAGAGCCAGGGGTGGGTGCTGAGAGCCACTGAACCAAACTGTAAACCCTGCGTGTGATGGAAACCGCTTCAAGCCAGTGAGTGTGGCAGCCCCCAGTTCTAGCACCTACGCAAAGAGCATGGGAAATGTGAATGAACGAAGCCTCCAGACACACCTCTGACGTGTGTCAGGATAACCACTTCTCAGATGTGGAAACTGAGCCATTTTGTTCTAATTTCAAGTTTTTTCTCCTGCTCGTGTTAGGAAAAGGGAACGCCCCACGCCACAAGAAATGAAAAGCTAACTGCAGAAAACTGGTTTCACTCCCAAGCAACCTTCATTTCAGAAGCATGACAAAGAGGGTGTCCGCATTCCTCATTTCCAAATCGCTGTACTGTGCGGCAAGGCACCCGATACATTAATGTTTCAAGAGGAATGTAAACAGAGTAACAGACTCTCATTGTTTGACAGCAATCAGCAGACATTAGACTCCAGTAATCTTTAGTATTTATAAGACTGAAAAAAATGCATCTCAAGATAAAGCCATGGTGGGGTAAGTGGTTCGCTTGCCTTTGACTGCTGATAATATTTCCCCCTCTTTTGCTGGTGCCGCCTACTGTCTAAGGAGATGCAGAGACAAGACCTACAAAAGAGGTCACTCCCCTTTCAGAGTTTCAAGGTGAGGCTGTAATTCTAGCTGCTGTCTACTTATGAAATCAGAGAGTGAGCGAGTGAGCAGCTACATGGTCTGGCAGGACCTGCTGGTACTTTTAAATATAAAGGCACCACCAATGCACAGACAACTTTAGGAATTTAATACTTCAGCCAACCATTTGTCCAGGAAAGATTCTGTCATTGATCATTAACCCAAAGGTCTTTAAATGATCAATGAAGGTCTACTTTATTAATTATGATGATAATGTTTGTTGTTTTGCCTCTATGGAAAAATCCAGTATAACATATTAGCAATTATACCAATAGGGTTTCTCTAAGGGGTTACAGAAATTACTTTAAGCAACCTATAGATTTTAGGCCCCAATTCAGCAAAGTACTTAAGTGCTTGCTTAACATTACGCTTGTGAGTTATGCAAGCTGGCTTCAGTGGTATCCTGCTGATTTGGAGCCTTAACAGAGAATGAGAGTACTTCTGGCACCTTCGAGACTAACAAATTTGTTTGAGCATAAGCTTTTGCACATCTGATGAAGTGAGCTGTAGCTTACAAAAGCTTATGCTCAAATAAATTTGTTAGTCTCTACGGCGCCACAAGTCCTCCTGTTCTTTTTGCGGATACAGACTAACATGGCTGCTACTCTGAAACTTAACAGAGAAGGAGATCCTCCCTACAGGAATTTTAAGGCAACCTACAGACTCTGTGGGGAATTATATAACCTTGCTACAGATTGGGTTAAAAATTCTACAGAAGGTTATCATTCTGTATTAAGGGTTTTTCCATACAGAATACCTGTAGGAAAGAAAAACACTTTTCAAGGTGTAAAGTTCCTTAGAGCTCCTAATTTAGATTATTTCATTGCAAAACAAGTCTTCAGGTGGAAAGAATGTCTGAACTGTAATTGGCAGTGTCACGGTTAGTTAACAGAGCCAATCTCTTTTTTTTATTACCCTGTGCAGCTGAGAATATTTTCAGTGCAAAACAAAGAGATTAAAGGAGGTGTGTGTAAGCAATACAGCTAGATCCATCAATTCTCACCCCCTCTTTTAACCTACTCAGATAAGCCAGCCCTTTCAGAAGTGACGAGTCATTTGAGGTATTTCAGTTTTTGGATGTTCAAGCTGAGGCACCATAAAGGGCCTGATTTTTAGAAAGGGCGGACCACTCTGAAAACTAGCCATCTTTAAAGTATTGCAAACTGAGACCCCAAAATGGCTTGTCACTTTTGAAAATCTTGGCCCAAATTTTCTAAATAGGGATATGCTATTATGCCACCAAAAGCATCCAGTTTGCATTGCTCCTCCCTATTTCTTCTTCTTTTGAAAAAATATGCCAGCCAACAAAGTACAGTAGCTGTCCTGCCTGCCTCGGAGGAATCAATGGGGGAAGAAAGGCTTGGGGACACATACCGAGGCTTTGCCACTTTATGAGTAAGAACGAGACAAGAATTTGATCCTGATTGAGGCAAAAGTGCTGTTTAATTTTGCTGTTCGCAGGGCAATAGGAAAGTGTGTCCAGTGTGCTTAGTTTAGTTGGTCAATGCATTGATTGCCTTTTGAGCATCAACAGGACCAGCTAGAATCAGCAGCTCAAAGTGGGACGCTAGATGGCAATGTTTTGGAAGAAATCGTGAACCAGTCCTGCAGAATGTGTTTAGTTTCTGGTCTCTTTATTCTTCTTTCAGGAAAACAAACTTAAGCATGGTGCTTAAGTCCATCCCTATTTAGGGCCGCACTTAACAGACTAGCTTAAGTCCCTTCAGCACATGCTTAAGTGCAGTCTCGAATAGGGATGCTTTCCTAAATTGGGACCTCTGTGGTGAGGACCTGAACAGCCACCTGCTGTATGTATTTGTCTTGCCTTAGTGCCATGTGTTTTTACATCAGATGCTGCATTGTGCCCTGCACTCACACTAGAGAACAAGGAAAGACTTGTTTCTTCAGTTCTAAAATTTCCAAGATAAGAAACCATAACAACTTTCTCACTAGGTTGATAGGAGAACTTAGGAACTGCCATAACAGACCAGATCAGTGGCAGAGAAAATCTGACCCTTCATTTCCTCTTGCAGGACAAAAGTCACCAGCTTTTGGTTTTGGTTTGGTTTGGTTTGGTTTTTTAAATTTAATAAAGTTCCAAAAAAGAAATGGCAACCCAATTAAACCATATTAAAAACACCGTGAAGGCTGTTTTGAAAGCAAATAGAAAGTTTCCAAACATAATGCCCTACTTCTTGATCCGCAAGGTTATCCACCTGGGGGAAACGGCTTCTGGCTCTGCAAGGGACTGATACATTAGGATGGAGCTCTGCCCCTCCATTTTATTGGAAGACATGGGGAAACTCTTCTAACATATGGTGCAAAATCTAAGTGCAAAACCTTGCTCCTCCTACGCTGTGGCATCCCTGTGTTAACCTTTGGAAAGTTTTATGCTCCCCACACGTTAAAATTAAAAATTAAAATGTTTTCTTGCGGTTGTTGTGTGTGTTTGTGTCTTGCTTTGCTTTTTGTGCAGCTCTACACTGCCGGCCCTGAGCAGAAGACACCTGCCCTGTGCTGGCCGCAGTGCGACTTACTTTCCGAATCGTGAATTGAGCTTGTTAGTGAGGAGCTGGTAGATGTGATGGTGCTCATGGAGGGGCTCATACCGTAACGGGGGTATGCTCCCGTCATGGCTGTGGTATGAGAGATCCATGCTGCAGGGTCAATTGGCCTCACTGGTTCAGCTGGAATAGCAAACAAACAAAAAGAAACAAACAAATCAGATTTCTGGCAGAATCCACCTCAGCAGGATTCAGTTGAGGGGGTGGGTAGGAGACAATTATTTGGACACTGTCAGTATCTTGGGGTCATTGTTATTCACATGCACAGGGCTAAGATGATCACTAATGGGGGGGACCAGAAGGAACAGTCAGGGACTTTTGCCTTCATCCAGGACACTAAGCAGGGACGGTTGGGTTCGATTTGGAGGGGTAGATCCAAGATGATCAGTTTCCTGTGATTGTGGCAGGAGTCTTCTCATATTATACTGTGAAACCTGACCCAGAGTCCAGACCCAAAGCTAACTGAATCCAAGAAAGAATGAAGTCCTGTGCCCCCCACCCCCAACTTAGAACTAGATATTCTGATCTGTTTGCAAAGGGTTGTGAAAAAAAAAACTTCCTAAGATAACAGGGTAGCTGGAAATGCCTTGACCCTTGAGGTCTTTGTGCCATGCATTTTGAAAACCTTGCAACTTAGCACTGCTATACTGGCTGCTCACTTACCCCTGGGGATAGTAAAATAACTCCTAGGTGTGGGATCCCAGCATTTGGCCACCGTTAGGCTGATAGGTCTGAAAATAAAGAAAATAAATATGGATGACTCAGTTACCTTTCCCTGTAGAACCGGGAGAACGATATTCTATTGTGGTGAACGGATTTGTTCCTCCCCAAGGATGGCCAGATAGAACAATCACATTTAGAGGAGGTTTTTGCCCTAGGAACCCCATAGGGAATGAATCAGCAAGACAGCTACCAGCCTGTGTTGGTTTTAGCTGGTATACTAGCAGCCAGGGGCTAACCTATTCCAAGTGGTTCAGATAATCAGGATAAGCATCCATACTCTCGGTGCTTATCCAGATTGAACTACTGAACTTCTTGAGCTTTGCCCAGCACTAAATTTCGGGAGACAGGGGAAAACAGGGATCTGGTGACACACTCACCCAGGCTTGGAGACTATTTCCCGTAAAACCCGCACTGCGTCATCATTGCTCATGTTCTCAAAGTTGACCTCGTTCACCTGGAACATGCCACAAAAAGACAATGATGATCAGAGGTTGTCACTAAAGGGAAAAGGCCATTTTATTAGGCTAGTGTTAGCCTGTCCCATGCCAATGGCAATGAATAGGGCATTGTCAAGCACTATGAGTGAAGCCCATCTTAAATTCGTCTTAACTGTTTTCATTTAGTGGAGAAACTGAAGAGATACGTCATTGCTGTAGAGTTGGTCAGCCAGCCAGCAGGGGGAACTCAAGTTAAATGGCAAATATTTGGAAACTTATGTAGTAGGTAGGCCTTGTGCAAGCTAAAACTTCTTTGCACAAGAGTGAATTTCGCTCACGGGTTCTGGAACGAGGAAAGCTGGTGGAAAGGCCAAGCTGAAACCAGTAATATTTCAGCAAGTGGCATAATTTTGGGGGCATGGACCAACCTGTAGAAGCATGTCTCCTGGTTCAATTCGGCCATCTGCTGCCACCGCTCCTCCTTTCATGATAGAGCCAATGTAAATGCCACCATCTCCTCGGTCGTTGCTCTGTCCTACGATGCTGATCCCCAGAAAATTATACTTTTCTAGATAGGCAGAGGGGGGAGAAAAAGCAAGCGAGGTGATTGGAAGGCCACTGAAAGCTGGCCAAGTATTACTCTATGGCCTTAAGAGAGACAGGTGTCTTCCAGATTTCTCACCACCACCACATTATCAACAGAAGCATTGTAGACATTCAGACCAAGAGGCTAAGCTGAGCTGGTTGTATGTACCTGGCATATTCATCCAAGCAGAGAGAGGTTGTTGATCTTGGATTATTTTTTCATACGACTTGTTGAAAATGTGCACATTTTAAAGAAAATAAGCAAGAGGAACTGTACTGAAAAGACCTGTCTGCGCCTAGAAATAAAACACTTAACAGCATCAGGTCCTGTTTGTTTTTCCATACATCACTGGGGCAGCAGGAATTTAGGGCTGGTGAAAGGGGTTGGACTGACAGCCCAGAAAGTGTCTATTTATCCAAACAATGGGACAACATGGGTGGCAGCAACATAAGCCTCCATCACCAAGCTACCTTCCTCCTTACCCCACTTCTAGGGGTGAGAGGAGAATTTTATCTCCAATGACAAGTCATGGCCTATCCCGCTGTATCTGCCACGAAGTTTGAAAATCTGAGACAGTTATGATGTTGGTTATGGGATATGGACACACATCCACTCTGAACTGGATTGAGACCCACATGCTTCATTTGGCAGTCTGGACAGCTGTCAAAATTTATGCCCCTTGAAGTCAACGGGAATCTTTTCATTGACTTCTAAAGAACTTTGGATCAGGCCGTAACTGCAGTAGCTCAGCTATTGTATCATGCTAACTCTTGACTTTAATAGTAATCAATGAACAGCACTCGACAAATAGAATTAAGAATAAAAATCAGCAACGATGCTACAACGTCATCTTACCCATATTGAGCGTGACAGTGATGATATTCAGGGACATGGTTGAATCTGTGATACTGCTGAATGAGGATGACTGGAAAAATACAACAGAGGCTTCATCAGAATCCCAGCTTTTAAATGGTTCAAAATCTAGCAATGAAAATAACTAACTGGGAGCAACCAACTGATCAGATTTGGACCTTCCTTCTGTATGGAAACCACCTGTAGGAACCCATCATGATTTCTTGAAATTGATTCCTTATTCATGATTCTTCAAACAACCGTATTTCACCCAATGGGTTGTTTAAAAGTGCTCATAGCAATGCTCAATATCAGGGGTTCTCTATTTGAATGGTGCATGCTAAGTCATGTGGTACAGTTTCAGACCAGATGACCTAAAGAAAGTACTCCTGTTGCAAAGACGCCCATTTGCACGGGAGTCCTGGTATTCACGTGAATCAAAGCTCCTTCCCAGCCATCCGTGCAAATAAAACATGACCTCACAAAAGTTTGCAGAAAGGCAAACAGAAAACGGGGGACACACAGTTGAATCAAAACACTATCAAGGTTCAGCAAACATGTCTGAGAATAGCTCTTCTGTTAGCCCAGTTCTAGCAAGAAGAGCTTAACATATTCTGTTTCTTTAAAGCCCCAAGGGATATATTTTTTCTGAGAAGCAAACAAGTGCCTGATGAAATTGTAATACATCATCTGAGTCACTCTGGTGCTGCTGTTGTAGCACCGTCCCAGAATGGAGCAAGAGACAATCCTTGCAAGTTGCTGAGTATTTCCTAAGAGCTGAGCATTCTCTCCTATTGACCTGAACGGGAGCAGAGGACGGTGCAGGCCAAATACCCAATACTGTAGTAACCTTGCCATTGGCCCTTCCCCTTGCTGAAGACAGTGTCCTGACTGAGGCTGTCTCATGGGAGCACGTGGCAGTGAGAAGATGGGGCAAGAAGCAGGGCCACAGCATCGGAGGCAGAGGGCTGAAGAAAAACAACAAACTGTGATGATACGTCAAGATTCCTAGGTCGAGGACCTGTTCCAAAGCCCATGGGAGTGGACAGGAATCTTTCCACTAACTTCAGTAGGCGGTTGACCAGTCCCATCACCTCTTTCTAGCACACACACTGCACTCATCAGAAACATGACCCACCCCGCCGTATGCTGCAGCACCAACCTTACCCTGTCAATCTGTCGCATCCTTTGTTTTCTCCTCCTGCGTTTATGCTTCCGTATGAGCCGGGACGAAGTACTTTGCTCTGTGGAGCTACTCAGCCTGGGGAGAATTCAAAGCACAATTCAGCTGCATAAAAGTGAGGCCATTTGCAATTCTCGACCCTGCCACAAAGGGCTGATGCCCAAAGATCCAGGAGGGAGCAAGAAATGTAGGCCCCAGCAACTGGCTCACGATGCATGCCCCCACCCCGCCCACCCTTGAACTGCCGCTCACCCCAGTGTTAGATCTTGGTCTCTGCCTAGCAGCATGCACAGGGCAGTAGATTAACTGTGACAAGGAAGTTACAGGCCAAATTACAACATGGATTAATGAGAATAATTTACTATCTTCCTCCTCTCCGGGAGCAAGAGTGAATTCAGTCCCCAGCTCGGCAAACACAAATCCTTCTGATTTAACCACCCAAAAAGGTCACAGATCCCCAGCATTGCCTAGTACTTTGTGGTGGTCCTGACCCCATTATCCAGTGAAGAAAATTGCACACAATAAAGACAGCTGCAGGCCAAGCAAATGATTTTAAATCTCTGCTCTGAAAGGCTCCAGCACAGAGAACCCTGGAGAATCATGTGATGCTACATTTTGAGGGCCCTGGGGAGAGAGAGAGAAAGAGAAAGAGAAAGAGAGAGAAAGAGAAAGAAAGATCCTTGTCAGCATGCTGCTATTCCCTCCATGCAACTGGAATCCCATGTGCCTAGGAACTTAATGGGGACGTACCATAAGTAAAGAAATAACTCTCTCAAATAGTTATGCTTGTTTCGATGGCTCCTCGGTCCGTGGGATGGAAAGAGTTACATTGCCATGGAGGTATTTATTTATTTTTGTTTCTATGATTTTCAAAGGTACTGTAATAGCTGAGCGTGTCACATCCATGAATGCATTTTTCTTCCAAACCGCTCGATGAGGTAGGGAAGTTGTATCATCCCCATTTTACAGATGAGGAACTGCGAGCCGAAGAAATGAAGCGACTTGTCCAAGGTCGCACAAGCAGTCTGTGGCAGAGCCAAGGACAGAACCCGGATCTCACAAATCCCAGTCTGGTGGGTAACCACAAGAACATCCTTCCTCTCTATTTGTTACTCTAAAAATGGTTAAGATAGACAAAGATGATGCAATATCTTTAACCAGGACAACATAGCAGCTACAAGAGCAAATGGGCAGATGCAAGTCCCTGCTTCACAAATCTGAGCAAGAGGGACCCTGGACCGGTTTTTCCATGTCTACCTGGCTCTGATCTACAAGGTTCTGGCCACGTTCAAAATGCTGGAATACCACAAGAGAGGACAAACCCTGGAAATTTCATGAAGGGGCCTGTTGTCATGAGAATCCCCACATGACAGGAGTACTCAACTCGTGTATACTCTGCATGAGCACGTTGGAGTGAATATTGGGGATGGGAACCTCACGGAGCTGGAGGGTTTGTGAACCTTTCGATTCATCCTCTGAAGTCACAAAACTAACTCAAAGCTTGTCAACATGAAGCACATGCTTCCTCTCAGCCAGCAGGACAATTCCAGTTGGAAAGGCAACGGCCTACATTTTCAAAAGCAACTAGTGATTGCAAGTGCCTCCATTGCTGGCAAAGCCCACACACCACTAAACTCCTACCAAAGCGCTCCAGGTATTGTACAGTATGGCTTCCAGGGTGCCTAGATCTTGTTGGCTGCTCTGCATAGGGGTCAGTTTCACATAATGTCCATTTTGCCACCAATATTTTTCCCCACTGGATTTTCACTCTTCTCCTCTTTCCTCCCAGAGTCTCTTCTTAGAGCATGAACCTAACTGCATTCAAGACTGAGCTGAATTCTCCAGCCCACAACAATCAGGTGGGCTTAAAGTCCAGCAAAGTGAGTTTGTTTGAGTCCAATGAACCTGCCTGCTACTTGACGAGAGACTCCGGGGAAATTTTCCTGCTTGGACACAAGTCAAACAGCAAGATTCCTGGGAAGGCTGCAGAGTGAGAGGCAAGTGCCTTTCTTAGGCTGATCAGAGTAGGGCTTCAGTAGGCAAACTAACCTTGTGCCGAGATTTCATTCCATGCAGGGAGCCCTGGGGAAGGGGTGAAGTCCAGCATGACTCATGGTGAAGCACGCACTAATCTTTCTATTGACTTTCATGCAGCTGGGTTTGGCCATGAGTGAGAAAGAATAAAAAACACATGGCAATTTTTATACAGTCATCTTTTTCTGATTATAACTGTGCTTTAAATAATTCCAGGCAGCTATGCATCACGTAGTTGATTTTCAGCGGCTGTAATGATCTGCTGAAGCGTGCAATAGTTTAGAAGGTGCTGCTCTAGACCAGTGTTTCTCAACTTAGAAATTTAGAAGTAACGGAGGAGGAAAAGGACCTTGGAGTATTGGTTGATCATAGGATGACTATGAGCCGCCAATGTGACATGGCCATGAAAAAAGCTAATGCGATCTTGGGATGCATCAGGAGAGGTATTTCCAGTAGGGATAAGAAGGTTTTAGTACCGTTATACAAGGCACTGGTGAGACCTCACCTGGAATACTATGTGCAGTTCTGGTCTCCCATGTTTAAGAAGGATGAATTCAAACTGGAACAGGTACAGAGAAGGGCTACTAGGATGATCCGAGGAATGGAAAACTTGTCTTATGAAAGGAGACTCAAGGAGCTTGGCTTGTTTAGCCTAACTAAAAGAAGGTTGAGAGGAGATATGATTGCTCTCTACAAATATATCAGAGGGATAAATACCAGAGAGGAAGAGGAATTATTGAAGTTCAGTACCAATGTGGACACAAGAACAAATGGATATAAACTGGCCAGGAAATTTAGACTAGAAATTAGACGAAGGTTTCTAACCATCAGAGGAGTGAAGTTTTGGAATAGTCTTCCAAGGGAAGCAGTGGAGGCAAAAGATCTATCTGGCTTTAAGATTAAACTCGATAAGTTTATGGAGGAGATGGTATGATGGGATAACATGATTTTGGTAATTAAATATTGATGGTAAATAGGCCCAATGGCCTGTGATGGGATATTAGATGGGGTGGGATCGGAGTTACTACAGAAAATTCTTTCCTGGGTATCTGGCTGATGAATATCGCCCATATGCTCAGGGTTTAGCTGATCACCATATTTGGGGTCAGGAAGGAATTTTCCTCCAGGGCAGATTGGAAGAGGCCCTGGAGGTTTTTTGCCTTCCTCTGTAGCATGGGGCACGGGTCACTTGCTGGAGGATTCTCTGCTCCTTGAAGTCTTTAAACTATGATTTGAAGACTTCAATAGCACAGATATAGGTGTGAGGTTTTTTGCAGGAGTGGTGGGTGAAATTCTGTGGCCTGCGTTGTGCAGGAGGTCAGACTAGACGATCATAATTGTCCCTTCTGATCTAAACATTTATGAATCTATGAATAAACTTCTTTCATGTCAGGGACTGGCTTGCTGCCTCCCTAGACTGTGTCAGGAAGATCTCAGGGACTGGCGCCGGTCCATGGGCCAGTCGTTGAGAAACGCCGCTCTAGACAACGGGGACATTGCACACTCCCAAGGAGCGGGATTCTGGCTTGCAATGGATAAACAGATCACAGGACACGTGCCATGCAGCTCACCATATCGTTTGTTTGGTTTCACAGTGCCACGCCAATCAAAGGGTTAATGCCACTGGCTGCTATTTCCCATTGTAAACAGCGGGCTCTATGTTAGAGATGTTGGCGAAACGCACATGCCAGGCCGTGCCTGAGATGTCCAATCAGGGAGGGACTTCTCCCAGTAGCAGAGAGTTCTTCCTTCACCTCACAGAAAAAGGATGTTTTGTCTGAACAGGAAATCCCGGGACCAGTAAGCAGAAACTTAAGACACCTTCAAGACCCCCCTAGCCCAGTTTTGCCTTAAGTAGTCTTGGCAGCGACCTAGCGTTGCCTCCAACATTTCTGACACAGAAGCATCTTCCAGCACACTCTCTCCCTGTCAACATTCTCATTATCACCACACACTTCCAGCCACCAAACCCGCCAAACTGCCCACGCTGACTGGTTGTGCCAGTTCCTCCCCCCCTGCTCTGAGGCACATCAACACGGTGCTGCTTAGAAACACAAAGAGCAATTATACTAGGGGTTCAATCGCATTCTCTCTGGCAGGCTGGACTAAAAATATTTGTCTGCAGTCAATCTGGCTGGAAAATGCAGCTGCTCTCTGACCTTGTGAGCACTTACAAGTGACGTTTTAATCCCCCATCAAGTCAGGGACTCAGTGTTTCAAAGCTAACTCTGATATATACAAGGGTAAAATTAGCTCAGCTCCTAATTGCACTGACACCAATTAAAGATGTCCTGATTGTAACTAGAAGGGATAATACAGTCCATTGCTAAAATGCCAGCAAGATGGTTACATCTTGGACAGTGGTCTGATGCAAGGGATGGCCAAGAGAATTTGGCTAAAATATTCTCACCAATCTGTAGTTCGCTTAACTTTTCCTCCTATTTTCTCTGCTGCTCCTGCAATTCTGGGCTCTGACCAGGGCTGGAAGTGTAACGAGTCTTTAGCATGGTTTGCACTTGGGTCTTCCAGCTCAAGCTAGACTTCTACCATTAAAGCTTGGCTGGTGGCCAGTAGTAGGCTGTTATTTTCTAGTGACCCAGCCACTAGACAGAAGCCACATCAGACATGTTGCTAGTGTTACAAAGAGGTGCAAAAATACCACAAGAAAGTGAACAGAACAGAAGGAAGAAGTAGCAGAAATCTCGAGAGAAAGCCTGTTTCCCACAAGACTTAGAGGTTCTACAGGCTCAAAAAAGGTCCAAGAACTAGCACCCAAACTCTAGGTCATTATTCAACCCAAATTGTCAGATATTCTTGAGGGTTCTTCCACCAAATCACCATCTCATATGTCCTTTATTACGGATTTCTTAAAGAACAATGTACCCTACCCCTTCTGACTTGCTTACCTTTCATAATTAAATCGAAGGAATTCTGAAGGAGTAGGGTAAATTATACCTTCTGAACAGAGACCGTGTCAGAGCAGAGCATGGTTATTAAAAGCATAACAAACAGATTCTTACAAACTGAAGGGAAAGGGAGACAATCTGCTCAATGATTCAGAAAGATGGTTCTGTAACCCTCAGGAAATTCCAGACATTCACTCAAAGCATCCAATTGGCTCTAAAGTGCTGGGGAGGTAGTGTCTGGTCTGGTCAACACCACCACCCATGTGTTCTACTCTCTGGGCCAGAGGAGCTGGGCACTCGGTTATTATTTATTTATATTATGGTAGTGCCCAGGGCTCCACTGTGCTAGACACTGTAAAGACAAACAAAGAAGACAGTCCCTGTCCCAGAGAACGTACAGTATATGAGAGCAACTATAGTGATGAGCCTAAATAGAGGGATTAGACAGAAAGAATAGGCAAACTGGGGAAAGATACTTGCGTACGTGTGAGGGTGATGGCAGTCGGAACATTTTATCACCACCTACAGGCTGATTCCACTGTCAACCACACTCTGAGCATCTTCAAAAGGATACACACCTTTACCCTCCCCACGTACCTCCGCAATCCTGGATAAAAAGATACGAGTCTGCATAGGGAGAAGTGAGCCTCATTTGGGAATCTGGGTTTCATTAGGATATGCACCTCTCCAAATGCTGAACACGGTCGATCTGTAAAAATGGAACCGGATATCCCACACAACAGACTTTCTTGAAAGACTTTGGTTTCCAGCTGGTATCAGACTAAGAGGAGTCATCTTCATTTGGACTGCGCTATTTCCAGTTCTACTCTGCATCAGAAACCAGGATTTGGGGGGGGGCGAGGAAATCAGACCCGCAAAAGATCTCCATTCATATTTGGTTCTAAAATACGGTCCATGATTTGGAGCAGTTTTTATGCAATCCAAATTGGCTCTTTCACTCTTTGTCTTTCAAAATTCAGAACCACAACTTCAGCCTTAAGACACACTTCACTTCTCTTGCTTTCCGGCATCTTCCCATCACAGATGAAGGACTTTAAAATGGTACTTGCAATATGTATGCAAAAGAAATGAAAGAAGAGGAAAGTTATGCTGAAGAATGCTGCAAATGTGTACGCATTTAATTCAATTAATTCTTGATCCCTTCTTGTGGGAAGCTGGGCAAGGTTTTAAGCTATCTTAACAACCTTGGGTGCAAGTACAAGAAAAGCAGTTGGTCTTGGCAAGACTCCTAGATGATGTGAAAGCATGTTTGTAAATATCAGGCTTCACAGTCTCTGCGATTTCTTTCAGAAAAAATAATTAGGGAAAAATCAAAGGAATCCAACTTATTTCCTCTTGCATGTTGCCATAACATTTTAGCCATCTCTCCTTGCCAACTTTTTCAACCTGTGTCCTCAGCAGAACTGCTGCTTACTCCATGTTTCATCAGTAAGGAAAATATATATTACAATTACATGTCAGTCATACCAATTTTCATTTCTGTAGCACTTTTCACGCCCTGTATTTCAAAAGTGCTTTACGAGAATTAATTACTTAATCTTTACAACATCCCTGGGAGGCGGGTAGGAATGATTATAGCCATTTTACAATTGGACAAAGAGCGACTTGCCCAGGGTCACCAGGTGTCAGCGCCATGCCAGGAACAGAACCCAGGAGTCCTGACTCTCAGTCTCCTGCTGCAACCACTGGCCAAAACTCCTTGAGCACTCCTCAAAACCGAAAGGCTACTAAACTCTACACAGAGGTTACAAAATGAGGATAATCAATGCAATCTGGTTTCTCCAAAGAGAAGGAAAGAAGGGGGAAAAGTGGTAACAATAGATGTAGTTGCAAAAAGCGCTTCAGAAAACGTTCTTTCCATTTGGTTCTTTTATGCAGTAGACTACAGCACATCTAAAGTCAGTGCAGTTGGAATTCTCGCCACTCACGATTTTGACCACATTAGAGCTAAGAGTTCTTATTAATAATAATTATAGGCTGCTGTCAAAAGCCTAGCTTCCTAACAGCCTTTCATTTTCCAACTATTTATGGTCTTAGGGGAAGGAAGAGACTTTAGAAAAGTACCTTCATATTGAATGGATTACTCCCCAGCAGCTCTGTACTCAATAGATCACCCATTACCTGCAAACGCCACTAAGTTTACGCTGTTTAATGACTTGTGTACTATACCCCATTCTATCACATTGCTTTAAAGTCATTTTTTAAAGAGAACAAATGGTTTTTTGTATCTTTTTCCCACCTCCCATATGAAAAGCACAAAAATGAATCAGAAGATCAAAGTCTGAAACTCCCTGAACCATAAGAGAGCAAAATTGCTAGGGTCTGTAGAGAACCTGAGACAGAGATCTGCCAGCACTATTAAAAAAAAAAAAAAAAGAAAGATGGCTCCTACCATATAAGGCACAGATGAGAAATGAATCTTGGAGGAACAGGATTCTGGTTAAGAAAAGAAACCTAGAAGATGGTGTCGAATTGGGGAACTGTACTGCCTTGAAATAGCCACTCACTGAAATAAAGTCACCCTCCCTAAAACACATCCTGGCTTTCCCTGGAATGGAAATTAACCAACTCTGCTGCGCCACTCCAAGTTAAAATCAATCAAATACTCACAGAGAAGTACCACAGAAAGTTCACATCCTCCTCACTGTTACCACCATAAAATCCTTTTCATTTGGATTCTTCTCTCCGCGTTGTCCCCCCCCACCCGCTCATTCCCCACTCTCAACTCGGCCTCCAACACTAGAATTTATCAACGCCATTAAACAAACTTACCCCCTTTAACCCTTTCCCCAGGCCCCCATCCCCAGCAGCTCCAGAGCGTGTTTGGTTTTCTATCGGGCTGTGTTCGCCCGTGAAGAAAATTCTCCCCCCACCAGCGGAATCTCTCATCCGCTTATGAACATCGCCTTTGTTATAGAACAACATACCTTGGAGCATGCCATTACGCTGCTCTTCCTGACGAGCTAGCCTGGCAGCTGCTTTGTATGCCAAGAACTTCTGCCCTTGCCTAGAAAGGAAAGGGCCCTTGGCAGCAGCTTCTAAGAATTTCGCTCTCATCTTGGGTCAGGTGTAGAGAGTTTTCTTTATTAAAATACAGGACAGGATTTAGCTGGGTCTAGCATGCTGTGCTTTAGTAACCACCCTGAGTGTGCTAATCCTGCCCCACTGCATATCTTGCTGCCATGGAAATGATTCATTTATTTACAAGAAACAAAATGAGTTGCAAGACTCTCTTGGAAACCCCCAAAGGTTTTAGGAAAGCTTAGAATGGATGCAGGTTAAAGGCAAAGGGCCGGATTCTGCGAATCATTTAGACACAGGGAAGGCTGATGGGCTTACTCATCTGTGTAAAATACTTGAGGATTGGTCCCTTCATTTTCACATGTTGGTGATCCATGCCCACAGCTCACGTTTGCACAGGGAATTTCCATTTGCATGTGAAATTATCAGTTTTGGCTGGGCATTTTTCACCTAGACTGTGTCTGCGAGCAAATATTTTTTTTAAGGTCAAAGCAAAAATCGGCCAAACTGTCAACAGGTGACCTGGTAGACCAAATGAGCATGCATGTGCATGGACAAATGGGCATTCTGCATACCGCACTACTCAGTGCAGCCTCCTCGCCCTTTACAGGTGTCAAAATGGAGCTCAAATTAAGTGGGATTTTAGCAAATTAAAAATAACAGAGGCCCCAGTTCAGCAAGGCACTTAAGCATCTGACTCACTGCAAGCTTGCAAATAATTCCTCTGAATTTAATGGGCTTTTCATGTGCTTAAAGTGAGGCATGTGCTTAAATACTTTGCTGAGCTGGGCTCCTTTTTTGTTTGCTTTTCACCTTAGAAATGACAGGAATATCAAGTTGTGTCTTTCTTGTTTTTACGAGAGGCCTCCTTGGAGTACCAGAGACCTGGAACGGGCTTTCTCAGCTCAGCATCTCCAAAGGACATCAGTACAGCTCTAGATACAGCATTTATAGCTACTTGCATTGGGAAATCAGCAGGGGGAACAAGAAGCTGGTCTTGCAAAAACAATGGTGAGTTTTGTTTTAAATCTTGCAGCAATGGAGTGGCAAAATGGAGTGGCAAAATCAGTCATAGTCTGGCCCCTGGGTCCCTCTCCTTGCTCCTGGCAGGGGATATGATTTGCATCAGTCCTACACCTACTGCAGACCAGGTCTCTCCTCTGTACCTGCTCAGCTGCACTGGCTGGCAGCGTGTGTGGGTAGGTGATGTGGAGCCCAGGGTCCACCTGTTCCCGAACGCTGCCCGCCCCCCACCTTTGCAGAAGCTTCCCCACGGAGGCTAATTTTCCTCCCCCATGCTCTGTTCCAAGCTGCAAATGGTGATGGGGTAAGGGATGTGTGTAAGGGATGCCTTACGCGCCCTTATTTCGGTACGTAGCTAGAGTCACAATCTGGCCCTACACGATTAAGAGCAACACAGTAAATCTACCCTAATTGCGCCGCGTGAATTCCCCACACCGGCTCCCTACCTGCTTGTGTTATCGTCATCATCAGAGTCAATGAAGCTGCTGGACTCCAGCTCGCTGCTCATCATGGTGGAAGAGCTGTCGTAGCCGGGCGGGTGCTCACGGTGCCTGTCCAGCTTGGGGTGCCCATTGATCCGAGGGACTGCGGAGAGAACAGCAGGAAATCAGGCCTGAGGTGAAGAGAGGGTGACAACTGCAGTAGCATGAAGGTGTCAGGGAAGGGAGCATGAGACCGACACTAAAAACAACCAATTCTCAACAGCCTTCGAAAAGGGCCCGTCTTGAAAACGGAACCACTTAGTGTTTGGATTTCAGTCAACAGCTGATAAATCCTGCCCTAGCCTTCCCCCATCTACCCCTGCTCTGGCTCATTTGCAGACCAGGTTTAAGGTTCACAGGGAGAGTCGCACAGGGGTTAGGGCAGATGGGCTGCAGGTCAGGACTGAGGTGCATCACAGCAGAGCTCTGTGGGGAGCCCAGCGTTGAAAGAGCAGCAAGTGCTGAAAGTCAGGACTGAGGTTCTTTGGCAGAGCAGCACATAGCACGGGGTGCCACAAACTGGGGGTGAGACTCGTAGAGCAGCGGGGGAAAACGTGCATTGCCCCGGTCTGCACAGTGCTATCAGCTTCTCTCTCAAACACAAATCCGTACGTTCCCCCACACCCCATAACCTGGGCGGTGCAGCTACGTTGCAGCCTCATTGTCCTGGCCTTTCCATATGCATAAAATATCCTGGCACATTTTCTTCTGCGAACACAGCTCTGAGTATGCAATCAGAGGGCAAGGACTTCCCTGTACATCTTCCCTACAAAAGTGTACCCCATTTACCTGAATGCACCAGTGGTTCACCTCTGGCTATAGGAACACTCAGGATAGCCCGCTACAAAACAAACTTCCTCGCTCCCTTCTCCCACTCAGTCACCTGTCACTAAAAGATCCTTGACCTAAGAGCGATACAATTTGCCAAGAAAGTTCTTGTCCTAGACGCCGGAAAGGCTGTTTCTGATAAGGAACCCAGTCAAGAAATCAACAAACTGGACTTCAAAGCAGGAATGACTTTTTAAAGCATGCTTTCTAACCCTTGGAATGCCTTCCCAGGTACAAGCAGATTATACAATGGAAAAGCTTCATGCGGAAAGAATGACAGTGCCAGGAATACACAAACCAGAGGGCAATTATTATACCCAGGAAGAAACTTTCACAGCCTAAGACTTTGCATAAGTTCTGAAGTAAGATTACTTGAAAAGTACAAGAAGCAGCATGGACTAGCAGACAGACACAGGACCAGGGGTTGAGAGAGCTGGTTTCTAGTCCCAGATCTGCCACCCTTAACCTTGCTGCCTCGATTTACTCATCTGGGAAATGGGCATCTGACTACTTCCCTCCCTCCTTCCCAGGGGGAGTAATTGTAAAGCACTGAGATCTCCAGACAAAAGGTACTCGAGAATTACAAAGCACTATTATTATTCTTTATAATTCAAGCACTCACGGCTATAAAGCTAGATAAAGTACTGTGACAGTAACCGAGCGCGATCCTTCTGTTGCACAATTTCCAAATCCCGTTCTGTCACCGCCTTGGCCCACTTTACGTGAATTTAGCTGTGGAGAAAGGGGCTATGTTGGCAGTCCCTGAAGATCCACATAGTCTTTGCATTGCCAGAGTGGGTGCAACCTGAAAATGGCACTGTCAGTTTCCCCTCCTCCTGGTCAATGCGACTCAATCTTGGTTTGCAGGGAACCACGCCTAGCAGCATCCCTCCTAGCTAGTGTATGGTGCACGAGGGGACCGTTCAGATGCCATGGTCCATCCAAGCCCTGACGCTCTGGTAGGATTGTGAACTAGTTCTAATAGTGGGTTTTGAGACTGGAAACTTGTCCTCTTGGAACTAGGCTGAGACCACCGAGGATGGTCCTGTGTTTAAAGCCTCAGGTGGGTGATCAGTGTCCAGTTCCAGGTACTGCCTCAGTTTCCCCATGTGACCTCGGGACTATCGTCATTTAATCTCTCAGTTCTTCAACTCCCCATCTGTAACACTGGGACAATGGTACTTTGTCTCGTCTTTTTAGATTGCAAGTGATTCAGGGCAGGGACTACCTCGTAGTACGTGTTTGTACAGCTCCCAGTACAGCGCGGCCTTGGTCGGGACCTTTAGACACTACTGGAATCCAAAGAAACTTTTCACAAGTTGAACCAATCCGTTATTAGAATGATTCTTGCCATCAATGAAGAGAAGGGGAAATGTTAAAACACTTGAAGTTCAGGCTCAATTTAACAGATACATAGGAAATGACTAAAGGACCAGAGCAGTGGCTCTTAACCTTTCCAGACTACCGTGCTCCTTTCCGGAGTCTGATTGGTCTCCTCACTTAAAAACTACTTGCTTATAAAATCAGACATAAAAATACAAAAAAAAGTGTCACAGCACACGGTTACTGACAAATTGCTCATTTTTACCATAGAATTATAAAAAAATCAGTTGGAATATAAATATTATACTTACATTTCAGTGTATAGTACATAGAGCAGTCGTATGAAATGTTAGTTTGGACTGACTTCGCTCGTGCTTTTTATGTAGCCTGTTGTAAAACTGGGCAAATATCTAGCTGAGTTGATGTACCTCCGGAAGACTTCTGTGTAGCCTGAATTGAGAACCACTGGACTAGAAAACATGGCTTATAGCGATAAGCTAAATAGACTGAGATCTTTGAGTCTAACAAAAGAAAAGATTAAGGGGTGATTTGATTACAGTCTGTTAGTACCTACATGGGGAACTAATATTTAACCATAGGCTCTTCAATCTCGCAAAGAAAGGTATCACATGGACCCAATGGCTGGAAGTTGAAGCTAGTTAAATTCAGACCGGGAAAAAAGATGTAAAATTTTTAATGGTGAGAGTAATTAGCCATTACAATACTTTACCAAGGGTTGCAGTGGATTTCTCATCACTGCAATTTTAAAATCAAGATTGGATGTTTTTCCTCAAAGACCTGCTCTAGGAATTATTTTGGGGAAGTTCTCTGGCCTGTGTTGTACAGGAAGGCAGAGTAGATGATCACAATTGGAATCTATGGATCTACGAGGTTCAGTTTGAATAAACATTCAAAATGGACAGCTACTTCTCCAAATTCTACAATCTAAAACAGGCTAGAAACTAATAATTTACGTGTATATTGCACCACAGATGATCAGGTAAAAAATGTGGTGGGAATCCTCCCCAAAATAGCCTTCTAGTTCTGGATTTAAAACCAAACTCAGGGACCAGGCAACAAAGCCCATGTATCCCAGACTCAACACAGACAGAAGGGAAAATAAAAGGAAGTCAAATTTTGCCCCTCCCAGCCTGGATCACAGGAGTGTTCAGGCAAAAGCTATTCTAATGATCAAGCAGGCGGCCTGGAAACAGACACACATATCTCTTGAATGATTACTGAGGAAGTAAAGACTAAACTGCTATTTCTTCTCATGGGGAATCAGCCAACTTTGACCTTTGTCAGCTAAGGTCAAGCAATCTGTTCTACAAACGCCCTGAATGTTCAAACCCAGCACCTCAGCCAAGCTTTAAGAGCCAATTTTTTCTTTCACTGGTGCGGTCATCCATGACAAAACAGAAGGAAAAGGGAAAAACTTTCCCGGTTCTAAAGCTGAGAAAACCGTGTTCTGTCCATCAAATTGGTAGCTGTGTGAAATTTACTAAACTGCCCATTAAAACCACAGAGAGTGTCCTTGGCTTGGGTTAATGACAGGCCTCCTTCCTGGGGAAATGAGTGAATAGTTTTAAATCCAGACACAGTGTAGTCTAGTGGCTAGAGCACATGCCTGGAAACCCTAGTGGCCTGGATTCTGTTCCCAGCATCAACGTTGCTTCATCTCTCTGTGCTTCAGTTTCCCCCAATCTGTAAACTGGAGAATGATACAATCACTTAGCTCCTGCTGGGAGGGTTTTGAGGCTTAATTAACATCCATAAAGTCTTGGAGACCTTTAGATGGGAGGGTCTATAGAACTGCGAAGTTAGGTTGTATCGCTGAGGCTGAGTGACGTAAATCATACCAGCATCAGCACTCAGGCCCACAGCACTGTGTCAGCAGACCGCTGCTCCCGCCGACACAGCTTCTGTCGTTCGCAAAGGGGGTTTTATTAGGCCAACGGGAGAGCTCTCTCCTGATACAGCTGCACCGCTGCAGCACTTACGTGTATACGTGGCCCAAGAAATACTCAGATCCCATTGACAGTCAGTGCTATTTGCATGGCTAACTTCCCGTAGGCACCTCTGAAAAAAATCCCATCTTAAATCCCCCAAAACGCGGGCATCTTCCTAACCAGGAACCTTTTGTTTCTTCCCTTGTGCAAGCGCAAAAGGCAGACTCCTGCCCACACCTGTTCGGGTCCAGGGAGGAATGTTTTCATTACTGGTCCGGAGGGCGGGATAAAACAAAACAAAACAGAAAAACACAAAGGCTTTGCTGCTGAAAGAAGCCTATTTTGTTGAGGGAGATTTAAAGTAATTGCCAGGCAATCGGAGTCACCATCAGAGCTCCCCGCTTCTGGTGACTTAGTAAGACAAGAGATGGGAAGTGAACCGGAGAGCTAAAGAACACAGAAGCTCTTTAATCTGTTTACAAGAGAACAAAGCCATGCATGAAGCTTTAACTGCTGGGGCTCTCCTCCCGTTTCCTGACATTCCTCTCCACACCCAGATGTTTCTTGCCCCTCAATCAAAGACCCATCCTAGGTGCCCATTCCCTCACCACATTCTGCAGGTGCTCTTCCCCCAACCTGTCTCATTCTTAGCTAAGCCTCCTAAGTTCTGCTTTGGATAACAATAAGGAGCACTTTTCATCCAAAGGCTCTCACGGCTCTTTACAACAGAAAGCATAAGGAACTTCACTCTGCAAAACCCAATCCAGCAAAGCACTTGAACACATGATTAACTTAACTTTAATCATGTGCTCAGGTCCTAGGGGAGTCAATGGAGCTTAAACTTTAAGCACGTGGGCAAGGTCTGTGCTAAATTGGGGTCCACTTCTTCAAAGGCAGTTGGGCGCCTAACTTCCATTGGATGGGATTTTCAAAGGAGCCAAAGGGAGTTAGGCACATAAATGCCAATGGAATTTTAGGAGACTAAAAACCTCTCAGGATCAGG